TGCTGATCCAAACTGTGTGACTGTGACTGGGCTCCCTGAGAACGTGGAGGAAGCCATTGACCATATCTTGAATCTGGAGGAAGAATATGTGAGTATCATATTTAGCTAATGTGGCTTAACATCCTTAGGGCCAAGGATTTCTAATTGCAATAATGTAAACAATATAAGAGTAATAAAAGAAAAGAGAAAAAGGCAAGGAAAAGGAGCATGAGTCCAAGAATATCAAACAATACTATTACAGAGTCCTACTATCTGAATTTAGTATTAATAGATTGCAGATATTATGTGTGTAGCTTTGTGTGCCGCTCCTAGATGACAAGCTATTGACAGATGATCCATTCAGATATTTTCAAGCTAGACAGGTCCTCCAGGCTTGCAAAATCAGCTGTTTAGAAATTAGGGCTGTGTCCATCTTCTTCCTTTGTTGTCCCAATTCATTTCAGGATGTTAGCCTATAATTTAGCAAGGCCTAGAGAGCCAGAATGGTTGACAGGCAATCTGACAAATAATTTGTACAGGTGAGGACTTCAGTTCAAAAGTTTCAAACCAGCAGCAGCTACCAAAGCATATGAAAGCATGAGACACCAGAATCCAAAACTGCCAAATCTTTGCAGCATACCCACAGAGACATTCAGCACATTCATGATTTTGCTTGAATCAGTCTTAATTTTTCATTTGATGATATAATATGCACAGAGGCCAGTTTCACTGTCCATTGAGTGTTGGAAATACAATCGGTCCTTCAAATTTGCAGCATTAACTTCCATGGATTTTATTATTCATATATTCAGTTAATATGTTCTCTCTAGAAATCTCTAGGTCCTCCAGAGTGACTCTATGGTCAATGTCTGCTGGACGTCATGCTGGAAGTTGGCCATAGAAATGCCCTGGAAAACCTAGTAATTTTTAGAAAGGTGTCCTCTCAGATTTTAAAAAGGGTCTTAAAAATCCTTTTTCCCCCTTTCATTTCATGGGTCCTGCATCACTAACTCCTATAAATGTGCAGGACCAACTTCCCTCTCCATTCCTTCCTACCCTGAACACAGATATCATAAAAATGCTGTTTCATCTCCCTACCCTCATTGGAAAACGGGAAAAGATGGCTGTACTGAAATATGCATTGCTAGCTGGTTAAATTTCTCTGTATTATTGCAGCTGTCTGATGTGGTAGACAATGAAGCAATGCAAGTCTACATGAAAACACCTTCTCATGATGAAGCGAAGGCTGCATCAAAGGGATTTGTGGTGAGAGATGCCCCTTGGACAGCAGGGAACGCTGAGAAGGTAGGTGTGGCTTTCCACAGACATTACTTTTACCAAAGCAGGGTGGCATCAAATGGGGACTAGAAATTCATGTAGATGTGCCCCTCCAAACAGACAAAGATGGGGAGTTTTAGGCATCCTCTTTTTGCTCACTGAGATTTTGGAGGTAACTGTAGTCAGACCCCTGTACTGTAGTCTTGTGCATGTGTATAGAATCACAATCTGTTTCTGTTTGTTTCATTCGTAAGACTCCGTTTTCATTTTTGAGCGACTCCTCTGAAAAAAAGGTGTATTTCCAAATGAGTTTTTTTTGTCCGAGGTCCAAAAAGGCAAATATTTTCGGCCGATTGGCAGCAATGGGCGGGCTTCCCACGCTTCCCTTCCCCTCAGTTTTAGGGCTAATGCTTGGCTGTGGGCCTTGGCAGATGCTGGCACTTTGGGCCTGCTTGTCACACACGCACTCTCTTTGGAAAAAGTGTGTGGCGAGCAGGCTCAAAGCACCTGTGTCTGCCAGGGCCTACAGCCGAGCTCCAAAAATCAGCTGATCAAGTGGTTACCATTTCTACTTTCCTTTCATTTCACTGATATTTCCATACTAGAGGGGGTGTACCATTTCGTGCCTTCTGAATGAACAAAATGGTACAAAAACACAAATTAAATGTATGAAACAGTAACTGGGCCCGTGGCTACTGTACTGTGAAAATCTTCACCCCATATTAGCAGCATAGTAAGTGAACTACTCTGTGGGTAATGCATTTGTGCCAAGGTAGTAATTTGATTCATAGAAATGGGGCATTCCTTTTTAAAATAAATAAATAAATAAATAAATAAATAATAATAATATAGGTTTGGTGTTAAGCTTGGCTTTCCCCCAATTATTTTCCTGCAGGCCCCTGACATGAGCAGCTCTGAAGATTTCCCAAGCTTTGGAGCACAGGTGGCCCCCAAGACCCTGCCTTGGGGTCCCAAGCGGTAATGCCTCGGAAGCAGCAATCGTGTCCAGCCACCTGCCACAGGGTTTCCTTTCCGAATTCTGACCTCACGGCTGGATCTAGTGCAGATTGCCCTTGGGGGTCTCTTAATGAACCTAGAGTGCTACCCTTCTTGAGGTTCTCTACTGTTCCTGTGCTTAGGCCTCACTTTGCTTCATTTCGACCTATTTCTTTCTCCTTTCCCTGGGAGAGACTTTCAATGTTGATTCCTACCTGAAATACATACATTTGTTTTTTTCCATTCCAAATTTCAACTTATTACTTCACGTTGGCCATGGTGTTGCAACCAAACCTCCCCAGGTACATCTTACAAAGCACTCTAGCCTCCATTAGGAGATCTCCTCACTGCAGCTAGGAATCTACTTCCTGTCTCAACCTCAGGAAACACATTTCCTTGACTTTCTACAAAGCCAAAATATTTGCTCTTCCCCTCTTCTTCCCTGTTTCTCCAAGGCCTTACCTTTCTAGAGTGCAATCATGTCCCCCTCCCCGTTTACACTGCCACCTGCCCTCCCTCTAAATGAAAATTAATACGGCTCTTGGAGGGGAGAGTTAATTGGCCCAAATGTATGAGTAGAGAGGAAGGTTTAGCCCAGTAGTCGGAGGCCCTCAAAAGCACTGACAGAGCCCTGGCTGTGCTAGTCTGCAGTGTTGAGCGTACCAAAACCCTTCCTTCATCAGCATGAGTGACGAATTGGAGCTCATCACCAGTGTTCTCCCGCATCACTTTTTCTGTTCTTCCTTCCCAACAGTAGTGTGGCTGAGCTCAGCCAGAAAGCTGACAGTATTATGGGGTCTCACAGAACTTGGTTCAACAAAAGTGCCATGGTAGCTGCAGAAGATGGTGGGTGATTTGCTTAGTGTTAAGAAGGGGCCCTGCGCCCTCCCCAGCTTGGTTGTGATGGCATTGAAGTACCAGGGTTCGGGTGTATCTTTTGCTTTTTACTATTGCCTTCTTTCTACCTCAAGCCAGTATGACAGTGGCCTGCTTCTCCAGACAGCCCCTCTTGCTTCCTGTTATCATGAATATAGCCCCTCTCCCAGGAGAGGGATGTATATGTGGCTTCAGACAGGATCTAGCGTATCAAATATCCCTTCCAACAAAGATGGTCTTAATCGCTGCCACATGATTTGACCTGTGTCAAATGTTAGGCCTTGGAGGGAGGGAGGTAAGGAGTGGCTCTCACTTAAATGGAAGAAGCCGATTGCAGTTCAGTCTTAAAAATGAAGCCTCTCCTGAGGGGAGGAGAGAAGACTTGGTTATGGGGCGATGAACCTTTGGTCCTCCTGATGTTTTGAACTTTCAACTCTCAAAAAACCCCAGCCAGCATGATCCATGGTAAAAAACAAACAAACAAAACAAAGGGAGTTGTAATCCAAAATATCTGGCAGGTTGAAGGTTCCTCATCTCATGATTTACTACATTCTGTAAAAGCCTTCTTGTAGTGTAGCAGCAAGTGTCCTGTCCTGTCGTCTTGGCAGCAGTAGTTGCTGCTTTCTAGCTGCTGCCATAAAACCGATACAAGGTTCCTTGTATTTTAAAGCTGCTCTTCCAGCCATTACATGGTTATCTATCTTTTCTGCTGAAGGTGCTGGTGGTGGTGCTGGCTCTGGTGCCAACTCTGCTCTGTCTGCTCCCCCTTCCATTCCCAAGAGCTTCTCTGAGCCATTAGCTAGCATCCTAGCCCCAGGGTCATTTATGCCCCAGTGCACACTGGGGAAAGGTCTGCAAAGCTCTTGTCTTTCAAGACTGCTCACTTGCCTGACCAGAAGAAAAAGAAGAAAAAACTCTCATTTCAAGTGAGTCTGAGTGAAGGGGGAGAAATCATTTCTCTAAGGTAATTCGATGTCGGGCCAAGATGAGCCCTATCACCACCTGAGCAGGAGAATGAAACAGGGTAGTAGTGTGCAATGTCTTGCCAGCGGTACCTGGTGTCCAAATGTCACACATCACTTGCACATGTGTTTTAGACTTGAACTGCCATTGAGCATGGCTCGAACCCTGCCATTTGTTCAAACTGTTGAGAGTATTCCCTGCCCCTCTGTTCCCCATAGTGTGCAGCAGATGCTCTGTGGAGGTGTGCTCCATGTCCTCTTAATGTCTTCCATATTATGTTTCCATGGCAATGATCCCTTGGCCTTAACTTTGGAATTTGGAGATTATATGCAAAAGATGTATAAAGGCTCATGAGTATGGATGACACTGGAATTTTATAAATTCTAAAAAAATAAAACCTGAAACAGCTTTGAGTGTGATTTATTATTGTTATAATTTTAAGTCAATCCACTTCAGGATTCCAACCAGTTTTTCTGAAATTGATCTGTTAATTCTGATGGTTTTAAGCTTTTTCCAAATTGTAATCAAATTGAATGATTGACAGGGTCTGTCCATATATGTTGAGAGGGTACGCTTCAGGCATGATTTGGATGCACGAAACATAATTACAGTCCTGCATTGTATTTGTAGGAGGAAGAGAAGAACAGCTCAAGCAGTTGAATACGAGTCGTCTCACTATCGCCCTCTTCTGAGTCAGAAATCTCTATTAAGATTGTCCTCGCATGTTAAGCAGTCTACACAGTTGCTCTTAGTTGAGCTCCAAATATGGCAGGGTTGTGGTAGTAATTCTCACTGCTACTCTCAAAGATATTTACTCTTAGGAAGAACTCTTGCTCGCTGTTTCACGGCATTCTCTCCCATCACAATAAATAGGAGAAAAGCACACTCCTAATCTGTATTTCGTCTTAACTTCAATATTTTTATAAATAGCTGTGGAAGAACCTCTTCGTTTGATGGTAGTGAAGGAGTGGGGCAACTGAAAAGTTGTCTGCTAGGCTGGTTGGTTTAATCTGTGGTCATAATCTGTTTCTTACTTTCACTACCATGCAACCTTTCTTCACAAAGACTTTGGCAGCTATGTTGACAGGTGAAATTCCCAAGGTCTTAAAATGTTTTGAATACAGTTCTACAAATACGGCAAATAGAGCCCATCAGACTGGGGAAACTGACATTATTGTACAAGCAAGGCCAGCCTGATTTTTCTTCTACCTCTGAAGTTTGCTTCTCCAAAAACTTCATCCATTGGCCTGGAGAAAATGTAATTGCTTTGCCTGGTCCTTGGGTCTGCCACTATGGTGCTTTTTCCACTGGAGGGGTTGGATTTCTCACATCTATCACCTCAATGAGGGCCTTTTAAAAAAAAACAATTAAGTTTAGACATATAAAGGCTTTTGTCATTCACACCATCTGTACATGCGTGACAAATCTGTATCAAAGTGTGACAAAAATGATCAGCTGGTTAGCAAGATGCTATCACATCTACCACTATTAAGTTGTAGAGGGGAAGCCTCACAGGCATTCAGATCATCCTCTTCTAGGTACTCACATTGCATCTGAGACTATCTCTGGGAGATAGCTGATAATTCAGTTGTTGATCATTCACTTTGGAAACGCTTACTTGAATTTTAACATCAGTACCAAAAACTGCCCTCCACTTGAAGTTATAGGACAAGATCCTGCATCAGACAATGTCATAACTATGATTTAACTCTCCACATAACCCCTGAAGGGATAGAAGTTTGTCCTGCTTCTAAACGGTGTTACAGGGTAACTAGGTTCCTCTCACTAGAGAATTATGCTGTGATAAAAGAGTAGAGATAGGTCACCACTTTTGCTCCTTACAGGTAAGAGAAAATGATAATGATATCCTGCAACACCCCATTCAGCAGCACAAATTTCAGTTGTTCTGCATGTCTAAGTGGCTTTTGAGGTGGGTGTTCAGAATTATTTGTGGTGTAAAGATCACTTAGGAGAAAACATAGCACTTCGAACAGGGGTCCCCAAACTAAGGCCCAAGGGCCGGATGAAACCCTCCTAGGTCATTTGTCCAGCCCTAAACTTTAGGCTTAGGGTTGCCTTAAATATGAAATGACTTGAAGACACAAAAAAATCCTAATTAACTTGACCATCTCATTAGCCAAAAGCAAGCCCACACTTCCCATTAAGATACTGGTAAGTCTATGTTGGTTAAAATCGTTCTTCATATTAAATAATGTAATGTTCATTCATATTTTTTTTGCACTACAAATGAGATAAATGTAATATGCATAAGAATTTGATCATGTTTTTTTCAAACTATAGTCAGGCCCCCCAACTGGCCCTCTGCTTAAAAGTTAAAGCCTCTGACTTAGAATGTCCTAATTCTAACATACAACATCATAACCAACACAATGCTGGCCTCTATTTTCATTTCCAAATTAGTAAGTTAAAATTTCAATTTATTGCTTAGCAATACTAGATTGGAGTACTGTGACTTGCCTGGATTGCTGCAAACTATACAGTAATGTTAACTTGGGTAGAATTTGGAAAATCACACATAGAGAGGACATTGCAGAACCCTAAATTTATCAACATAGATATTGATGCACAGAGTAGTTCTAGCTCCTATAATTACTGTGTTCAACAGAAAACCAGGAGATAATCCTCCAGATCCTGTTTCAAGCATTTTCCAGAAATTGCCCCCATTCCCCGTGTATTAAAAAAAAGCTTTGAACTGCTCGGTTTACTTAGAGTTGTAAGATTTTGGAATTTACCATAACCTTCCCCCAAAGTACATCCTAGATAAATGATTGGTAGAGGGTAGTTATAGGAAAATTGCTATGAGGATATATTCAGTTAACTACAATATCAAATGAGATACAGCAAAGCTATTCAATAAGAAAAACATGAGAGAGCTAGGAATTCTATTTTTTCTTTGTCTGAATGTGATTTTTGTCATCATATTCCACAATTTGCTGTGTGACTGTAATTATTTCAGTTCCCAGCTAAAGATCAACGGAATGAAACTTAGATGTCAAATTGCAATTGAAGGACACCAATGAACTTTGTAGGTTGCAACTTTGAAGAAGCTGCTATATTCAGAATCCAGTCTGTGGATTAAACATAGGCAGAAAAGAAATGAACTATTCATCCAGGCTTCGAAACTCCGTAAGAGGAAAGGGAGGAACATAGAGACCATTGAAAAGGGGTTTAGTTTCTTTATTATCTGGTAGTCAACACTGTTACTCATCTTAGATCCTTACAGGGACTCTCCCATCCACATGAAGCTAAATTAATAAGGATAGGCAATCATAAAAAGCTGTATTTAAAATGCACCATTTACCTTATTTTCAGCCAGAGCTTGTTTAGCTAGATATTGCTCTCGTTTCACTTTTATTTCCACCACTTCCGGGATGTCAGGCACCATCATATCGATCATGCGTGCAATGAAGAAAACCACATGCTGAAAGGAAGGAGGAAAAGGTACCTCAGCAGGTCTCATGCAACCAAATTGTGATGATGCAAATGGGGAGAGCAGAACTCTGCCCTGTTATTGCATCCAGCTATTGCTGATCATAACAAAATATTCAGCAGAAAGATGGGTGGATTGATTGGATTAACTCAGTAGTTTGTGACAGCAAAAAAGATGACTCCATGCAAGGTAACTCCAGACTCAGCCATCCCACCAATATATTTACTTTTTTAAAGTGTTAAATATGGTGAGGGTGGGGTAAAGCTATTTGTAATTTTACCATTTTGCAGGGATCCTTCCGCAAAATTGAAAAGTCTATTATAATGACCAGAGAAGAGCATTGCCAAAATATTTGAATGGAAATGTACCTCAAATACAATGATAAAACCAAGACGAATTGCCAATAGATTCCAATAAGCGAGTGAATATCTGCCACTTTGTTCTCGAAAGGCTCGGTACCTGTGGAGAGAAAAGGTATAGGTTCTAAGAGTATGCTAAATAGCTATCAAGTGATAATCACAGCAATCACATACTTTCAGGACTTAAATTAGTATGTGCATCGCATAACCATACGAGTTTTTTGCAGCAAAAACTATAGTCTTCTAAGTCACCTTAAAGACTTTATAATGCTAGAAGATCACAATTTTAGTTGCCTCTTTCCATGCCTTCCCTCCCATAACCACGACCAAATATATAAACCTCCCTTGCTTAGGTTCTTGTGGGTTTTTTCGGGCTATAGAGCCATGTTCTAGAGGCATTTCTCCTGACATTTCGCCTGCATCTATGGCAAGCATCCTCAGAGGTTGTGAGGTCTGTTGGAAGTAGGAAAAATGGGTTTATATATCTGTGGAATGGCTGGGGTGGGGCAAGGAGCTCTTCCCTGCTGCAGTTAGGTGTGAATGTTTAGCTGATCACCTTCATTAGCATTTGAAGGCCTGCCTGAGCCTGGGAAAATCTATTGCTGGGAGGTGTTAATCTGTGCCTGGTTTTTTCCTCTCTGTTGTTTAGCTGTTATAATTTTAGAGTTTTTTAATACTGGTAGCCAGATTTTGTTCATTTTCATGGTCTCTTCCTTTCTGTTGAAATTGTCCACATGCTTGTGGATTTCAATGGCTTCTCTGTGTAGTCTGACATGGTGGTTGTTGGTGTGGTCCAGCATTTCTGTGTTCTCAAATAATATGCTGTGTCCAGGCTGGTTCATTAGGTGCTCTGCTATGGCTGACTTCTCTGGTTGAAGTAGTCTGCAGTGCCTTTCATGTTCCTTGATGCGTGTCTGGGCGCTGCGTTTGGTGGTCCCTATGTAGACTTGTCCACAGCTGCATGGTATACGGTAGACTCCTGCAGAGGTGAGAGGATCCCTCTTGTCCTTTGCTGAACGTAGCATTTGTTGGATTTTCTTGGTGGGTTTGTAGATTGTTTGTATGTTGTGTTTCCTCATCAGCTTCCCTATGCGATCAGTGGTTCCCTTGATGTATGGCAGGAACACTTTTCCTCTGGGTGGATCTTCATCTTTACTCTCGTGGCTTGTTCTTGGTCTTGCAGCTCTTCTGATGTCTGAGGTGGAGTATCCATTGGCCTGGAGAGCCCAGTTGAGGTGGTTAAGTTCATCTTGGAGGAGGTGGGGTTCGCAGATTCTTTTTGCACGGTCTGCCAAGGCTTTAATGGTGCTTCTTTTTTGACTTGGGTGATGGTTGGAGTTTTTATGTAGATATCTATCTGTGTGTGTGGGTTTTCTGTAGACGGTGTGACCCAATTGTTGATCTGGTTTGCTTAGTTTCCAAGGGGAGAATGCTTCTGGAACATGGAAAACTCACAGCAACCCAGTAATTCTGGCCACAAAAGCCTTCGACAACACACTACCAAATTCCTTTTAGTTGAATTGCCACAGAGTCCGTAAATAATGTTGCAGTAACATCTGCACTCATTTTATTATGAGTAATGCAAGAAGTCAAAGATTTCTAAGGCCCACTGAACAGATTTTGGATTTGCTATGAAGTAAACATGCATAGTGTAGACAACAGATGTTACTCTATTCAATTGTCACGTATAGAGAATACAAATGCCACTGTATTCCACAAGCATCTTGTTGAATCCTAATTTCAGTGATATGTTAAACCATTTTTACACAAATGGCTGGTGACCATGCTAGAGAGATCTGTATGTTAAGACAGCTACATTCATAATTCAGGATCATTAAGTGTGCTATTCCATATGTAGCAGATCCGGATCCCTCCTTAGAACCAAAACAAATACCAAGACCAGTTCCCCACAGAGTCTGATCTTGTGCGCAAACTTATTTGCACCCCAAATACAATGATATTTTTTGTTGTGATTTTTTACTTTACTGTGACCTTTAGTCAATTGCCCAATATCCCTCAGCAGCCAGGCACCCGAAATAAAAGCAGGAGGTCCTACCTGCATGTGACATTGTGCTCTTCAACATAAGATTTAGGAGCATAGGCCAGGGTGAAATCAATGTAGCCCTCTAAATTGCTGTCACGAGTGTATTGGTAATATAGCCGAGGGAGAAAGTCAGACGTGAAGGCAATCAAGAAGGCCTAAAAGGAAGAGGAAATAATTTAATTTCACTTATTTTCCTGTGCTGTTTAGAGACACATTCTTGCTGTCTTATTTCCAATCTTGCTGTTGGAAATAAGTAAACAAAATTCCCATCCTGTAAAAGTTACCTTAAGCTATGGGGTGGGAATCAGATAGATGTTTTGGAATGGCATCTCCCAACATCCCTCTAGAGCGGCTCTGCACTCCACAACTGCTGGGAGTTGCAGTTCAAGATCCAAAAATGGAGGATTGTACATTTCTAGATGAGATCTCTGGCCCATGTAGCACAGCACTGTCTACACCAGAGAGAAATATGTGTCAAGCTTCTGGGATCTTCCATTGAATTTTTAAATATAGGACCTTTTTTCACACTAGAGAAGGTATATTATCCAGAAACAGATACAAAAAAGGAACCCCAGTAAATGGACATATGCTAAAAATTAAGAAACGCTATGACACTTGAGTACATGCTCAATCCAGGATTTGTAATCAGTAACAGGAATAAGCTTTCAAATCTTGCAGTTCAAGATCCAAAAATGGAGAGTTGTACACAAGCACATTCCTGGTTTTTCCAACATATTATTTTAATTGGGGAAGGGCACCTATATGGGGATTTGTAAAAAGGCACCATGATGTAATGGGTTGACTGGAAAGGCATGTGTCAGCAGCTGATTGGCTGAGCATGCCAGGAGCCAGAATTCTGATTGGCTACTGTCTCTAGTTTGCTGCGGAGAGAAACAGTTTTAACTGCCATTTTCACCTCAGAGAGTGAAGAGAGCACTGACTGGAAACAGCCAGGGAGGAAATGGCTGCCAACTCTCTGAAGTCTGATCATTTCTAAGGTATGAAGCATATTTTAAAGACTGTTTATTTCCTCTGTTCTCTTGTAAGAATTCAGAGAGCTTGCTATATATATTGTTGCTCTGTTTGACCCTTTGAGCTGAAGTAAAGTTACTGTTACTCGTAAGACAAATCTGAGTGACACATTATTATACTACAGGTTATATTTTGGTTCAGAAACTGGTAAAGCTTCTGTTTGTTTACATTTACAACCCCCAACAAGAAATCTTTTCTTTAATCAGTGACTACTGTTGCCAAGGCATTTACCCTCTGGAATAAAACCATTCACAGTACTAAACAATTTAAATATATACACTTTAAAAATACAAAAAATTAAAATAGTTCACTTAAAAAAATACAGTTTTAAAAATAATATTGATTTTTTAAAATATAGAATTGGAAGAGACCTTGTGAGCCATCCAGTTCAACCCTTGCCAAGAACCAGGAAAATTGCATTCAAAGCACCCCCCACATATGGCCATCCAGCCTCTATTTCAAAGCCTCCAAAGGAGTCTCCATCACACCCCAGGGCAGAGAATTGCAGTGCTGAACAGCTCTCGCAGTCAGGAAGTTCTTCCTAATGATCTGGTAGAATCTCCTTTCCTGAAGTTTGAATACATTGTTCCATGTCCTAGTCTCCAGGGCAGCAGAAAACAAGCTTGCTCCCTCCTCCCTATGACTTTCCCTAACATATGTATGCATGGTCATCATCATGTCTCCTCTCAGCCTTCTCTTCTTCAAGCTAAACATGCCCAGTTTGTTAAGTTGCTCCTCAAAGAGCATGTTCTCCAGACCCTTGATCGTTTTAGTCGTTCTCCTTTAGACACTTTCAGCTTGTCAACATCTCTCATCAATTGTGGTGCCCAGAATTGGACACAATATTCCAGGTGTGGTCTGACCAAGGCAGAATAGGTGGGTAGCATGACTTCTTTCGATCTAGACACTAAATGATAGTATTTTAATATATTTTTCATCATTTGGAATAGTAGTACGCACAGTTGGTCTTGCAAAGTCTTATCATATAACACTGACAGTCCATCCAGACCCACTGATCAAGGCAGAATAGAGGGGTAGCATGTCTTCCCTGGATCTAGACACTATACTCCTATTTATGCAGGTCAAAATCCCATTGGCTTTTTAAGACACCGCATCACATTGTTGGCTCATGTTTAACTTGTTGTCCACGAGGACTCCCAAGATTTTTTTTCTGGTATTCTAGTATTCTATTTTAAAACAATTATATTCAAATTGTTTCCTGGTATTTTATTGCTTTTAAAAACCTCCAAAGTAACATGGATTTTTTTTTTGTGTTTAAAGGTAGAATATCAGACCATAATCATTAATAAAAATATATGGTATATCCAACAACAAAATATATGGATAAAATATGACAACAGCCATGTGTCCAGAAAATTTGGCAGGCTAGCAAAAATTCTCCAGGTTGGAGAAGTTGTTCCACTTAAGGATTTCCTAAGAGTATTCCATCACCTCCTTGTGAGGAAACTCTGTGTTGATTGTTTACCCTCCAGCCCAGTCCAACTCACATTGCTAATGACTGCCAAGTGTGTGATGACCTCCAGAATATTGAACCAGATGCCAATGCCTTGAGCTCGCTCTGCCACGGGGCGCCGGTATTCACAAACAAACTTCTGGGCATCCAAGCGAATTTCCACCCAATTGTTAAGCAAGGCAAAAAGAGGTGCCAGAGGGCAGGCCGCCACAAAGATGGTAATAAAGCCAAACTGCAGAACTGAGGAGGAAGGAAGAAGAAAAATATGATAATGACTGGACCAAAGAACTGGATGAAAGAGATAATGGAGATAAGTTTGTTTTGTTGTTGCTGTGAGGCTTCGAGTCATTTATGGTGACCCTATCGTGTGGTTTTCCTGGCAAGATTTTTTCAGAAGAATTTTGGCCTTTGCCTTCATTTGAGTCTGAGAAGATTTGGGGTATGCTCAGGGTGACGGAAAAATATCACCCACAGCTTGTACTCCCCAGTTCCAGAAACAACCACAGATATCACCTTGACTCGCCCCATCCATCATAAATACGTCCAGTTCTTTCCCCTGCTCCCAAGTACTGCTTACCCATTTCCAAGTATTCATTAAAGAGTCCTTCATAGGGCAGCAGCTCATAATCACACTCCCAAAGCTGCTGGATGAGATGTTCTTGACCCTTCTTATTCCTTGGTTGGTCTCGCTTATGCCACCATGTTTTCAACTTCCTGTGGAAAACAGAACAGGGTGGCTATTAGCATATCCATGTCTTCCCCATTCATAGTCAAGAAATGATCAATTTGCTATGTTTTGTTGCAGTCAAACCAAGGCATGGCAGAACGTCATGTCAGATGGGTTGGACCCAGAGCCCGGTAAAATTATTTTGGAGAGAAATTTTCCAGTGTTCCCAACTAATGAGGATACCCTCCATTATCATTAGCCAAAATGCCAAATGGCAATTAAACTCAAAGCAGGAGAGAAAAACACATCAGGGGATATACTAGGGTCAATGGCCTTAACTGGCTAATGGTAAGTAGTAGTCCAATAAATTTGTGGGGCATGATGTTAGGGAAAGATATTATAATGTCCTATTCTGCCTTGGTCAGACCACATCTGGAATGCTGCGTCCAATTCTGGGCACCACAATTGAAGGGAGATGTTGACAAGCTGGAAGGTGTCCAGAGGAGGGCGACTAAAATGATCAAGGGTCTGGAGAACAAGCCCTATGAGGAGCATCTTAAAGAGCTGGACATGTTTAGCCTTCAGAAGAGAAGGCTGAGAGGAGGCATGATAAAAAGGTAAGGGTAATCCCCTGACATTAAGTCCAGTCATGTCTGACTCTGGGGTGTGGTGCTCATCTCCATTTCTAAGCCGAAGAGCCAGCGTTGTCCGTAGACAACGGCATGACTGCATGGAGCGCCCTTACCTTCCCGCCGTGGAGTGTGGTGAAGGGAGTTGGACTGGATAGCCCACAAGGTCTCTTCCAACTCTAAGATTCTATGAATAGTTTTAAAAATGTATATCCAGTCCTTCCTCTATGGCAGTCATCCTCAAACTGTGGCCATCCAGCCCAACTCTCAGAATTCCTGACCACTGAACAGGCTGGCTAGGACTTCTGGGAGCTGGAGGGCCTCAGTTTGAGTATGTCTGCTCTAAGGAGTTCAAAGTCATGGTTCCTCTGTGCCCATTTATTGCCTCAGCAGCCCTAGGCAGTAGGTTAGGTTAAGAAATAGTAACTGGCCCAAGGCCACCCAGTGAGCTTTCTACTAATGGGGGATGTGAACTTAATTTGTTCTAGTTCCACACTCTCAACTTGCTACTACTGCAGACCACAGGAGATCCTAAGTAGCATTGGCTGGTCTTTGACCAAAAGAGGTTGTACTCATAGCAACCATATACATTCTGGGTCATTTGTTGTTGCAAAAAATAGTTGGGAAATTGAAACTTAGTAAAGTTCCTCACCATTATTAAATTGTGCCAAGGCCACCTATGAACAAGTGATGTCTGCAATGGAAGAAGGTTCTCTTAGTACATTCCTCAGGTAAATAAATATTGATGCTATTTGCTAGCTTGATCAAAACAATCTTTTAACCACAGAACTAGAACTTTATGAAAACTATTTTGGTCCAAAGCAGTCAGGGCCAAGTCATCATTTGTTTGTTTGTTTGTTTGCTTGCTATATTTATATACTGCCCCTCTCAACCCGGAGGCGACTCGAGGCGGTCAGTCCCGCTTTCCTTTCAGTCGGACCTGGTGGTTCCCAAATTAGTCTTGGGAACCACCTTGAAAACGGTTCGGAAATTTCAACTAGTCCAACGGGCGGCGGCCAGGATGTTAACTGGTGCTCCTTTCAGAGAGGTCAACCCTCCTGTTCAAGGAGCTCCACTGGCTGCCGTTCATTTTCCAGTCCCAATTCAAGGTGCAGGTGCTCACCTACAAAGCCCTAAACGGTTTGGGACCTGCCTACCTGGTGACCGCATCTCCGTCTATGAACTTGCAAGCTCTCTTCATTCATCTGGAGAGGCCCTGCTCACGATCCCACCTGCGTCGCAAGCGCGGCTGGTGGGGACGAGGGACAGGGCCTTCTCTGTGGTGGCCCCCTGACTCTGGAACTCCCTCCCCAAGGACATCAGACAAGCCCCTACGTTGGCAGTCTTTATGAAGAGCTTGAAGACCTGGCTATTCCGGTGTGCCTTTCCAGAATAGGAAACTCCAGCAACACTTCCCAAAAGCACTTTATTAGAGATTGAGATTGTCCGCACATTGCACCTATCAAAAAATCCTTATATATCACTCAGCATACTCAGTACTTTTTAATCTGTACCCATTATATTTGCCCGGCCTAGTTTTTATTGTATCACTATGTGCTGTTTTACTCTTTACTGTTATTGCTTTAATGTTTTTGATTTGCTTTTGGTTTATATGTAATTGTTATATTGTTGTTTTATTGTGGCCTTGGCCTTTGTAAGCCGCATCGAATCCTTCGGGAGATGCTAGCGGGGTACAAATAAAGATAATAATAATAATAATAATAATAATAATAATAGTCTTAGAATAAAAAAATGAATGAATTTGCTGCCCAGCAAATTCATTCCAGTTTTTTACTCTGAAACTTAAATGAGCCTTCAAAGACAAATCTTCAGTATCTTGGATAGCTCCTTGAAAATTATACTCGGCCCTAGGATGCATATGCCACCTTGCTGGCGTGGAAACGAATTACCACCACTATTTCCTGTTCATCAGATCACTAAATCAAATAATTTCTCGTATGATTATAAAATATTCAATCTTATTTAATCATTCTAGAAAAGGAGCTAAACATTATCCTGTATGGTACGCAATTTACACCATTCTGGCAAAGCATGAGATCAAAGGGAATACACTCACGGTATGACGATTTCCTGCACATTGTTAATTACTTGCTTTCCCACCATGATGACCAGCAGCTCCTGGGCAAGTTCAATGAGACAGCCACCTGGACCACACTGGGCAAAACAGAGAGAAACGTCAGGCGGGCGGTGTGTACCTTGTGGCAGATACAAACTGACAGTCACTTGAATTTCAGATCCAAGCCTCAAGCAATATTGTTAGAGGAGAAAGCAGGATGGAATGCTCCTCCATAAAAAACAAAAAGATAGGCAGGTAGACTATTATTACATAGAGACAGCTAGAACTCTTCTGTCTGAAATGAGCAATTAATTGCTCAAGGGAATAAATGGAGAATCATATAATGGCATTTTTAAAAAACCAAGGAGCATGGCATCATATGATTCCCCATCTACTCCCTTGAGCGATTAATATTACTTCAATGCTGACAAGTAGATTATGGCAACTGTAGTTTGCAAAGGTCTTCCAATAGACACAAGTTGGCCATTTCAACAGCTTTTGGTGAGAACTAGACCACAGAACCTCTTGTGATGTGCCTTCAAGTCCACTTTGACTTATGGCAATCCTATCATGGGATTTTCTCAGTAAGATTTATTCAGAGGAGGTCTGCTATTGACTTCCTTTTAGGCTCAAAGTGAGAGAGTATGAGCTCATATTGTCATACAGTGGTTCTTTGTGCAAAAATTCAGGCCCTACTCCCAACATTCAAACCACTGCACTCAAATGCCCTCTTTTAGGAAGTTATACAGTGCACCAGTTGCATAGAAATGAACTCTACAGTCAATTCAGCATCATTCAGGCAACCATGTTCTGTACGGATAGCTAGAGCAGTGCCATCACCCCATGCTACTCGTTCCATCTGAGATACTCACATCCTCATTGCGGATGCCCAGAAGTTTGGTGTAGTGACCAGGGTAGCCTACAAACCTTGAGTGAAAGAAAAAGGAAACAGCCACTTCAGGTAATTCTAAAAGGTATAGTCAAAGACAAAGTTTCCAAGATTTGCATGTGATGAAAAGGCAAAGAATTGGTAGCCACTGGTGCATTATTTACTGCAGCTCACCATTTCCACCACAAAGAATATTCAGTCTGCTGCCACTTGTGGCTTGAGTTTCACAATCCAGGTTTCAAAATTGCATAAACATAAAAAAGAGGACTGTTATCCCATATGTGCACTGCAGATGGCAACAGTGCTTTTTCTTCCCCATCAAATCAAAACATCAAGACCTGGTGGTAAGATTGCTGCTGAATTTGCATTTCTGTACATTTAAGCTGTGTTGTGAAAAACATAACTGCATGACCAGAATAGTCGTTTTTTCCCCAATCACAGCTATAAATGAGACAAAAAGAAGTGGAACAAAGTCTGATTCTGACCTGCAGAGAAACTCCTAGCGGCCCCCAACTTTGTTTTCTTGGGCTCTACCCCCTTTTTGGTGGTTTAGTCAATAATAATAATCCCACATTTCACCAATATGGACTTCGCTGTTGCCACTGCAGACTGATAAAATCATGGACTCTTGCAGAGCTAAAGTATCCTATAGGCATGTGGCACAGCTCACAAAAAGCCAATCCCTACATTGTTACATAGCCCAGAAGTGCTACTGTAGATAGGCCATCCTTGGGTCAAAATGCCCCATCCTGGACCAATCCCGTGAGCCAAAGGATGCCAGTGGGTCCACCAACCCAAACCCCTCCTCTGCCATGATATCATCATTGAACTTTAAAATAAATATTTGAACTTTCTCCATACAGAAAGAAACATAGAGCTCTGGTAGAGGCTCCTTCTTTGGAGGCTTTTAAACAAAGGCTGGATAGCCATCTGTCAGGGATGCTTTGAATGCAATTTTCCTGCTTTGTGGCAGGGGGTTGGAGTGGATGGCCCACAAGGTCTCTTCCAACTCTATGATTCTATGATTCTATGTTTTTTTCTATACAGACTCATATATACTTGTGTATAAGATGAAGCCAAGTTTTGGGGATTTTGATATGACTTGTGGGCGAGTTCAGGGGATTTTCTCTGTGTAGGTAACACAGGGCATCTTGCTTAGAATCAATAGTCCATAGTCCAAAGCATCTCTCTGTTCTGAGAGTCTAACAGAGTCTCTGCCTAGTTCCTGCATTGAAGTCTAAAATGTACTGTTCCTGCAGTCTTCTAAAAGCATACACTTAATGGCTAATGGCTTCTGTACAGCATACTGTTCCTACTGAAGTCTAAACTGAACTGTTCCAAAATGGAGTCTGAACCCTGAACAAACCCAGACCTGAACACATGGTCTGCAGCCCCTCCCACAACAAAGAGGTTAAAGAAAATTGCAAACCAATACATATGTGGACAATACAGCAAGCAATTTGAATTACATACATAACAAATAACTAGTGGAGGCTTCAGAAGGGTGCTATTTCCAACTAAGAGAGACTTCTAGGTGTGCATCAATGGAAATCCTGATGAATAAATAGCTCATTGGATATTGTAATTATGACTGACACCAATACTGCCAACATGGGGGCACAATGTAATATAGACAAACGCTTCTGACTAAACTGGGAGCTGGACTTTCTCTGTTCAGGAATTCAAAGCTCCAACAACAGCCCATTTTTTGTGCAAAGCCTCGTAGAAGAAACATAGCCAAGATAGCTGAATCTTCATTTTAGATGGATACACCCTTCAGTGTGCTTCTTTTAATTCCAAAACATATACAAAATAGTAACTTTTGCTTTTTTTCTCTTAAAAGATTTTAGAATTACTGTGTATTCACAAAATGGCATTAAATAGCTCTAAATTTAAAAGAAAATCAAAGGAAACATATGTACCCTTCAAACTATAGGATCGTCTCAGAGAACTACAACCTCTGAGGACCTCACAACCTCTGAGGATGCCTGCCATAGATGCAGGTGAAACATCAGGAGAGAATGCTTCTAGAACATGGCCATACAGCCAAAAAAACCTACAATAACCCCACTACAACTTGTTTTTTAAAAAACCTCTGGAAGGGTTCTAGTGCATTTATTATCGTTCCCTAAATCCATTGGTAATTAGCTATCCAGCTTGTACTTTTTTCAGAGCCCAAACAATATAGCGAATCCTCTCTCACCTGCCATGGAAGCTTGCCTATCCTCTGTTACTTGCAAAAAGAACCCAGCAGGGCGAGAAGCTACCGCATAAATGTAAGGAAGTGGTTAATGCATCTTCCTTTCTTGGTGTGTCTGTGTCACGATGGCAAGTTGTTTCCAATTTAGGCTCAGCTGCTTCTTCCACAAAAGAACTTACCTGCCTTTAAAGAAGGCAATGTAGATAGGAGAGGAGTAGAAGTTGACAAACTCAAAGACAAACACTTTAAAGGTGAAGGCATCTTCAAACATGGTCTGGGTACGGTGCATCTCTGAGGCCAAGAAAGGTACAATGGATGGCATAAGAATGGTGGGCATTATCCTGAGCTCTTCAATGGCTTATATGCACTAAGATTCTGGTTAACTCAAACCCCACCCATTCCATTCTCGCTGGTCTCCATTTGACATAACGAAAACACATTGTATGTTGCTAGCATGTTCTAGGTTGTTTTTTTTTACTAAATACTACACTCACCTGTACACCTATGTGACCCATGTGGACTTGATTATTCACAGATTTGATTAAAAAATCTTCTCTCTAAGGCCCCTTCTACACTGCTATAGAAAATCCAGATTATCTGCATTGAAGTGGATTATTTGGCAGTGTAGAAACATATAATCCAGTTCAAAGCAGATAATGAGGATTATCTGCTTTGATAATCTGGATTATATGGTAGTGTAGGAAGGGCTTAACTCCCCCAGTTTGATTATCCATTTTCTTGTTGTAGTCCCTAGATATTTCTAAACAGAACACTCTCTAGAAATCTTTAGGTCCTCCAGTATGATTCTATGGTAAGCTGGAGGACCTAGAAATTACTAGAGAGATGTTCTCTGAGGTTAAACAATGTAATTTATTTCTTCACTTTTTTCACATTCATGAGAGACCTGTGTCCTTATCCCAATGAATGTAGTACAGTGCTGACTAAACAAAGTTTCCGCTGGAAATAAGTTCTGATTTCAACTGGTTCATATATTCCCCCCATACAAATGATAATGTAACGTGCAGTAGAATTGGCCATGCCTTCTGGTTCTTTCTAGTTACAAAAATTACCACAACTCCCAGAATACCCAGTCAATATGGCCGGTGGGTCATACTGGTCAGAAATATTAAAAGTTAATTAAGTATTTTTAATTACATAAATGTGAGTCAAGCTCTGAAAGGGTTAAGTGGATGTGATGACTCACTAAATCTGCAATTCAATATAAGCAGGCGTGCCTGTTGCTTAGTAACATCTCAGTCTGAGAGAGCTCTCAGTGTGAGAGAATAGCCCTTAGTGTTATTAGGCCTCACAGTGTGAGGTAGGCCTGGTTATGAGAAGGCCTTGTATGTGAAGCTCCGGTGTAAAAGTTGAACTTCATTTGTGTTATGGAAACCTTGTTCTTGTAAATAGGGCAACTATATTATTTTGCTATAAAGAAAAGCCTCCTATGGAAGATACAATATTAATGTATTGTCGAAGGCTTTCATGGCTGAAATCACTGGGTTGTTGTAGATTTTTCGGGCTATATGGCCATGTTCTAGAAGCATTCTCTCCTGACGTTTTGCCTGCATCTATGGCAAGCATCCTCAGAGGTTGTGAGGTTGTGAGGATGCTTGCCATAGATGTGAAACATCAGGAGATAATACTTCTAGAACATGGCCATATAGCCCAAAAAACCTACAACAACCCAGATATAACATTAGTCTGTATGTTTTTGATATTTTTATCACTTTGGGCTACTGGTGCTGGGTCACACGGCTGCTACTGCTAAGTTACTCCGCTATACATTTATGAGGAAAGGTATTTTGTTAATAAGCCCATGCACCAAACAATACTGGCCAGAGAAGTTTGAAGACTATACTAAAAAGCAATTTTTCCAAGCTCTGGCCCCATTCCAACATGGCTCCCTAAGTCACATCCAGTATCAACACCTGTTAATGAAAGCTGACATCTACATATACAGGAGAAGCTGGGACTTACCCCACCTGGTAAGGAAACGTGCCAGTGCAATATAGATTTTGGAGAGGATGAGAATGAAGATGAGGTTCACAACTGAGCCAGTGAGGCTAGCAATACGAGAAGCCTAAGAGGAACAAACAGAAGAAAAGTGATCCAAATACAAATGGCACAGCAATTCCAAAATGGAAGGGAGCCCTCCCACACACACACACACACACACACACACACACACACACACACACACAGTTGTCTTACCGAAGCCACAACAAGGAAATTTCCAGATTTGGACACAACTACAGCAATGATGGCTCGGTAAAGAATGATGGAAATCAGAAACATCACCACCACAGCAATCTGCAGACATAAGCAGAACAAACATTGATAACGTACATTTGTTGTCTCATTTTTATAATGGATCTGACAACAACACCAACAACAACCATTTTTATATCTTACTCGCCTCTCATCATGACTCGCAGCAGGTCATAGCATCATTAAAAACACATAATCATCTGCCACATTGTTTACTATCAGTAAAGTTTATCTTATATCAATGATGCCATGAAAACTTTCTTCTCCTTTGCCTATACACAGAGGAAGCCACTTCCACACTATGTATTGCTTCTGCTCCAGAAGATCCTAGGGAGATTTATATGTTTCTTATGTCTTAAATGTGTTTTAAATTGTGTTAATTTTGTGTTTTTAATAGAATTGTTTATTTAATATTTAACTTTTATATAGTAAGATTTTGACTATATTTTATTTTAATGTATTGCAAGCTGCTTTGGGTCTTATAATAATGGAGTAATAGAATCACAGAGTTGGAAGAGACCTCGTGGGCCATCCAGTCCAACCCCCTGCCAAGACGCAGGAAAATCATGTTCAAAGCACCCCTGACAGATAGCCACCCAGCCTTTGCTTGAAAGCCTCCAAAGAAGGAGCTTCTACCACACTCCGGGGCAGAGAGTTCCACTGCTGAAAAGCTCTCACAGTTAGGAAGTTCTTCCTAATATTCAGGTGGAATCTCCTTTCCTGTAGTTTGAAGCCATTGTTCCGTGTCCTAGTCTCCAGGGCAGCAGAAAACAAGCTTGCTCCCTCCTCCCTATGACTTCCCCTCATATATTTATACATGGCCATCATGTCTCCTCTCAGCCTTCTCTTGTATATGGGGAAAGCTGGGAGATACACAGACAGACGAATAGAAGCATGAAATGTCATGACCATCACCACGAATTCAGACCATATTGTCATACAGTGCATTCCTTTCAGACCAGTCTTATATTACAGGAGTTAGACAAATACTTCAATACTGATCTTTTCCCCTCCCACACATTCCAGTAGTGTGTTATTACATACATCAGAAAAGAAGTAGATGGGGATAACTTTTATATATCTGTGTGTGACAATGAGCTTGGTTCTTAGGTAGACATGTATTACACCCCCAAATTTCAGATAGATGAAGGAGAAACACCTAAGGTCAATAAGTATGTTGATAGTTGAATTTAGAGTTGAACCTGAGACTGTCACCTCACACTCACTAAACCACATCCCAAATCATGGGAATCTCTGCTTCATTCATACTTCACAACAGTAGTTCCCTCACCATCATAATGATTACTGTTGATCCAGCCACGATTCTTTTGAAACGATTTCTCTTTGGGAAATAAGGTTCCTCCTCTCCAGTAATTGGATTGAGTGTTGTCATCGGGGCCATGGCTGTAAACTGTGGCCGTGGACGCTCCTGTAACAGAGGAAACCTGAAGTGATTCAGAAGTGAAAAAAAGGAAGAACCTCACAGTACCATTTGCTATTACAAGATGTGAAGACGTCTGCAACCATCTTGGATGCTAACTAAATAACTGAATAAATGCACATAGGGCATGGATATTGATGTACAATAGTCATGATGGGCATATGCTACCAGGAGAAACATATGTCTCTGCATACTAGTCGCTGGGAAACATGAGCAAGAAAGTGCTTCTGCACTCAGGTGTTGCTTATGAACTTCCCGTTGACATCTGTCTTGCCACTTGGGGTAAAGAACAGCACTTCAGTCTAATCCATCTTTTTTTCATGTTAATTTGGGGATATGATTTTTCATGAGATCTGTCAAATCAGTACCTCAATATCTTCAAAATCTGAACAATCCCAGCGATAATTCAGAGTCGCATTCATTCGCTTCCAATACTCAAGGAACGTAACTGCCCACAGAGACATGAAGATGCTAAAGAAGACAGTCCCACCATGATCAAAGAGACGGCCAGCCTGAAAAAGATGATAAAAATCACAGTGGAGCATCTGCAAAGAAATGCACACCGGCTGAGAAGGAGTGGCAACAAGAACAGTAACTGGGACTCACGATGTAACGGTAGCATATCTGGATCTCCTAATGCAGGTGTGCCCCAATTCCAAGTAGAGTAGGCGACTGAGGAATCAATGTAAACCTCCCCTGCCCATATGGCAGCTCTAGTATTCACTTCAAAAACATATACCCCACTTTGTGTGTTTAAGACAAGCATGTTTTTAAATGCACAGATCTACTACTGAAGTCTGACTACCAAAAGCACAAATGGGTTACTTTGGATTGTGTACTAAACACAAGTACACCAGATCGCTAGAGTTACATAAAAAACACGAGCGTTGAGATATCCATTTAAAGCTGGCGATGGAAGCTGAAACAAATTATTTTGCATAGAATGGTATCATTCTACAGGTTTTTTTGTATACACCAGCACAAATGTTGCAACAGGAAATGGGTGAAAATATCATTCTACAAATCCCCAAACTTTAACCTCTGGCCAAGATACAGCTAAAAACAGAGGTTAATGTTGATCCTGGATAGGAATATCTATCTAGCCCACTGAA